GATTAAAAAGAATTCCAATCAACACGGCAGCTACTAAAGTCAAGAAATGCAGCAATTGTTTTCGCAAGTGTGTCTAGGAAGTTGCGTGGTGTTTGCGCTTCAGTCACGGTCGGGTTTATGCCTTCCCGATATTTTCTGCTCCGACGAAGCGAAGCCAAAACCAACTTCGATACTATGTTGGAGAAACTAATAAAAACTTATCCCCGAAATTTTTTGGGGCTAGTACAAATGCAAGCCCATGTAATCGTAAAGAAGGAATAATTATAGGTCTAACACAACGTTTTTGTTTTGTACGGTCTCTCGACTCAAAAATACTCCATCGTAGCGGAAGAAATTTAGCAGACCACATCGAATACAGATAAGCAGTTTTATAACTCCTTAATAAATACGCCTGGGAAATTATTTTCTCGTCTCTTCATTACGTAATTGATGATCATTGTAATTTGAATATATCAACAAAGTTGAAATGGTAAATTGACCACCGTTACGAATATAAGAGCTGACGTTTCGAGCGTTAGCCTTTCGTCGGAGCGAAGGGCTAACGCTCGAAACGTCAGCTTTTATAATCGTAACGGTGGCCAATTTACCATTTCAACTTTGTTGATATATTCAAATTATTTCTTTACCACCACCGACGCAGCCCCAAACGGTTTCTTTAGAAACTATCAGCTTTATTCATACGATGATCATTGTGTTCGTCTCTAAGATTAAAAATTAAGTCAGTCTTTTCAATTGTTACCATCATATAGATGCTTAAATGTCTCATTATCACTTTAGCATGAGTTATCATGTACCATTTATTAGACTTTTGGAGTTTTAGGATTGAAGTAAGATTTCAAAAAATCTCTAAATTAGTGACGGATATGAAATTTGCAGATATAAAGTTCTTGACTACTGAACAAAATAGAAAAAGCTTTTAAACAGCGGAGTGTCTGTAAATTGCATAATGAAACTAATCAAAGGATTCTTCACATTCGCATTCTATTGTTGTTAGCTCATATTGATAAAATGGAACAAGAAAAGATTTAAAGCCCAATTTTCATTCAGTGCAGCTAACGAAGATAGGTAAATACTGTTAAGCAGACACCAGCTTGAGAAATCTAAAAACAAAAAGGTACGCCGTAAACCTCCTAGCATTTAAATTAAGTATAGCTTGACGAGTCTTTAGCTTTGTAAAAAGGTCAACAACTCAACTTATGGGTCTTCTTTTATCTTAGACAAGCAGAAAAACTGCCCGTGGAAATGCGGACAAAGGAACAGTTGGGGTTTGAAAACTATCTGGTTTTCTCGGAAAATAAAACTACACTAGACACAGTTATCAATTTTCGCGCAGAATGCCACGAAACATCCGAGTATTTTTTACATCTGTTGGCGGTAAATTCAATGGATCCTGCGAGTATAT